TTGCTTTAGAAAATTGCTTTTCAGTTTTTTTTAGTTTTTACAAAAGTAATTGCTTTAGAAATTATTTTTCAGTTTTTTTTAAAGCATTATTTTTCTAAAAACTGAAAAAAAAAATATTTTCAATTTTTTCAGTTTTTAGTAAAAAAACATTCAGCTTTTTCCTGTTTGGTTTTTAAAAATATTGCTTTAGAAAATTGCTTTTCAGTTTTTACAAAAACATTATTTTAGAAAATATTTTTCAATTTTTTTTAAAGCAGTTTTTTTGTAAAAACTGGAAAAAAATTATTTTCGTTTTTTTTCAGTTTTTTGTAAAAAAGAAAATTATTTTTTTCAGTTTTTACAAAAAACAAATTGCTTTAGAAAATTGCTTTTCGGATATGGGTAATGAGTCTTTTTAATTAATTAGGAGATATTTAGAATTGGCCAACAGGACGATGACACGTGTCTCCCCGTTTAAATAAGAGGTATATTTGAACCCAAAATATGACTGCAGGAGTATAGATAACCCAATAGTACATGGGTATATTTGGACCTTTGCCAAAATATTAATAGTAAGTCGGGAGAAAGAAAATAAAATTAATCTCGTATTGATGTCTCTCCTTGGTTCATTAGTTTAGAGTTTAACTTTGTCTTCTTCCAAAATTGTAGCATCAAATATTGCTAATCATGAGTTGTAGAAGAAGAAATCAAACTTTATATCTCACGAACGACACGATTAATTTTTCATGAACATCAAAATCTATGTATTGGAATCCTGATTTCAGAATTTTTTATTTTTTATTTGGCCAGAACAATACTTTTTGATTTCCTATAAGGCTTCTTGTTGTATTACCTGGAGAAATTATTTCCACAAGTATGGTATTTTTGGCCATATAGAGAACAAAGCTCTTCATAAAAATAACATAGGGCATAATAGATAAAATTAATAAAGAATAAGCAAAGTTAAGAAAATTAAACCTGAAAGGCTTTTTCTTTGATTCACTACTCTGACGTTGTTGCTCAACCCAAAATTGTTCAATTAACAATTTTGGAGGCAATTTGCCGTAGTCAAAAAGCCGGTCGTATGTTGATTTCCTTGAGATTACTGCAATGAAAAGAAACTCGTTTTCAAATAAAAAATTTAATTCTATGAGTGTAAAATCTATTTGATGTTGCAACATAAGGTTGTGACTATTCCAACTAAGTATATTATTTGTTCGTCTCTTTGTTTGCTTTCTGATATTATTCACGTAGTTCTGAAAATTCATGGCATCAAGAAATAATTATCCTGTTTTTTCACCAAATGAATATAATCAAAGTAAATATTGTGCCAAATTAATCGTCATGCTATAGATTCTGCCAACCGTTGTGACTAAACGTGGTGGCTTTTCATGCTTTTAAACAAGGGCCTTCATCATTTTTATGCGCATTGCGCGATATATTTTCTGTTAATTCTTCGCAAAACATAATCTTATTATCTTCAATTTTCAGAAAAAGTAGTCACATTTTCTTTTCCGCGATGAGTGAAACTCTGAAATCTACTCCAAAACAAAAGATTATTGCCTTTGCTCAAATAGAATTTATACTATGTGTATTGTTAGCACCATAATGCTCTTTGTAAGTTTGCTTACCAGTCTAGAGAATAAGGATGATAGAGGTGGATGATCATGAATAACATGTTGTTCTCCTCATATACAATGTTCCTTTTGTTTTCTTTTCAGGCAAAATTGCATAAATAGCCTTTTTTATTTTAATTAAGAATATGCAAATTTAACGTTATGGTACGGAACTAATCCTTCATATATGTTTGGTGAGTTCTAGAAATTTTATCAACCATCGTGACTTAATGTGGCTTTGTCATATTTACACAAGAATGAATGTAAAGTTTATGGAAAGGTTGTGACTGTTTGGAGTATGAAGCGTTGGGGGTGGTTGTGTGTGTTTTTTTTTTTTTTTAATAAGTAGGTATTTAAGTTATTTAGAAGGGTATTTAGGTAATTCAAATTTCTAGTTTAAGGCTTCCCACTTTTAATATAGTATAGATTATCATTCCTGGCTATATTTGAATTTTATAGCAAATTCACATGTATTTCTGTATTCCAAGGGAGGAATTTTCTGGCAAATCCCATGTATATACCTCTGTATTTTTGTTGTATGTATCTTTGTATACACCCATGTCTTTCTGTACTTCGTCTTAGTTGTATTCGTTGCGCTAACGAATACACTTAATGCATATTGTATTATAGTTGCTCGTATCATTTCATATGACTTACTAGAAGCTTTAGAATAGCTTCTTTAGATTTCCAAATTTTATAAAACTCATATGTGAACACATTACCTTCTTAGACTTGGACATTTCCATTAATCCAATACTTTGCAACACTTGGGAGGGGACAAAAAAAAGAGTTTGGCAGAATCTGGCAGAACTCAGCTAATCAGGCTAGTAAATGAATCTGGAGAGCTAAATGTTTTTTGCAGCAGGTCAAATAATTAGTTGGCCACATAAGAATCCAGGAGATCCGTGAATATATGCCACAACATGGAAATTCTTCTTAGCCAGAATTATTACAGTAGGATGTAATAGCTAGATAGGAGGATTTGAAAAGCATTGTTACATTACAATTTTAAAGTTCTATATTAGCCAAGGGCTTAGCTCAGGTTCCCACCACTCGTCCTTGTTACGTTCTGTATTGCTATCGCGACTTTGAGATTCGTGATTATAGAATTGAGGAACATCTTTACCAGAACATTTTTCCTTCTCATTTTAGTCAATTCGGAATAATTTTTCTACGAACTTTTTTTTTAAAAAAAATCCTGAATCTTGACAAGGAAATTTTGAGTGGTGAAATATTCATAGTTGTTACCAAAATTTTGAGTGGTGAATACAGGACAATTAAGATCTAAGGCTGATGCAATTTGGGATCCATAGCAAGACAACCATAATCCATCTTCTAACATTAGCAAATCAGATGGCAGCAAATGACAAAGTCTTTGGATGAATATAAAATATCACATCAAGAAATGAGGATCAATTAAAGGAAAGTGTAATCCTCAATTGGAAGAAGTTGGAAAAGAGATAGTGGGAAAGTGTTGTGGTCTTCCTCTAGCCATCAAAACCACATTCACTAGGGGAGTGGAGCTAGGCCGATAAGAATTTTCGAGAGAAATTAGTATCGGATAGTGAAAGCAACATCTCTGTAATGGCTTCTTTGCAGGTAAGTTATGATGCTCATCTAAAGCAGTGCATTTTGTGCTTCTCAATATATCTAGATGATCATAAAATTGAGGCTGAACAATTGATACGTTGGTCAGTAGGGGAAGGATTTGTCCGTGGCAATGGCACAGAAACTGCAAGAGAATTAGCTTTTAATTGGTTGAAGCTGCTCAAAGAAGACACTTTGATGCAAGATGCATGACAGGGTCCGGGACATGACAATTCTAGTTGCAGAAGAAGAGACATTCTGTAACTTTAATAGAGGTAAACACATAGACACAGTTAACTCTAGGCACTTGCGGGTGACTAAAGATGCAACTATCCAGTCCTTGGCTGGAAACTCAAAGCTAAGAGCTCTTCTTCTCACTACAACAAATTGCATTGGCTTCAGTAGGAATATTGCTCTAGCTGAAATCAAGACTCTTAGGGTCTTGGACTTGTCACATGTCAAGATAGAGAACATTTCTTTGGTACTGGATCACATCACTAAAGCGGTTAGCTTATTTGAATCTTAGAGATGTTGTAAAGTTGGATGAAGTTCCAGATCTGGTTAGGAATTATGGGGGCTACAAATACTGGTTCTTAGAGAATGCAAGGAACTGAAAAAGCTACCAACATCAATTTTAGATGTTCGAAATTGTCCATCTTTTTCATGCTTACCTTAAGGTCTCTCTAGGCTTTCCAATCTTGAAGAGTTGTATGGATTCAAGATACCAAATCCAGCAACAACAGAAGCTTGTCGCCTGAGTGAGGTCGTAGCACTAACTCAACTTCGGGTATTGCAATTAGACATAACAGAAGAAAGCGTGATAGAGGACAAGGAATCGGCTGCACTGAAACAACTTCAACTATTAAGGGTGCTATCGATCAATGCATGTGACTTTGAAGACAAGGACATCATAAGGAAGCTGGACAACTTCTCACCACCAACACGTATCGAAGAATTTTATACTAAGGCACTTCCTTGGAGAAACCACAGCAGCATGGATAAACCCCAAAGTGCAATGCCTGCCCTCAAATACTTGGAAGTCAGCTACTACAATTCGCTGGAATCGTTCCTATGTAATGTTGAAGGTTTAGGATTTTGAAGAGGAGGAAGACAAGAAAGAACAAGATGTGATCTAGTGCCACGATGAAGGCAATGAAGGAGAATTTTATGACATGCACTGAACATATAGGATTCCAATTTTCAGTTTCAGTACACAATCATGCATTGTTTTCCTTTCTATCTTCTGTTCTTTCTTTCTTTTTTGGTTTGGAAAACTGGTACCACATTATGCTGTTAGCATAGTGATGTCTTCTTTGCAACTGTGTGCTTGTTTTACAAAATAATAAGTATCAGTGGCATGTTTGTCGAGTCTTTATTCGAATACAGATTTCATATAATAGACAGGTGATCAATTGTTCTACCAAATCCTCACAGTAGATTCCAAACTGGAAGAGTTAACACCAGAGTTCCCCTATTAAGTAACGATCCACAACCATTTATATTAATCATATTAAAAGTATGTTTTACATTTTAACTTTTTATTCATATGAAGAAAAAAAAGGAAGCAATCAGCCCTTGAAAATTGAAATGCACCTTTTTTCTTAGTTTCTTCTTGCTACCTGATTTATTATAACTTTGAATGATGTGAAACCCTTTCTATGGCTGCAGACTTTCGTATGGATAGTACCTGAGTACAATTTTGATAAAATTAGCTAACAGTAAAAGGGCATTCATCAACTCTGCTTGTCTATTATTACATCCAATAACATGAATTTTGGAGTTACAAAACTAAACATAAGAAGCACTACTTGTTGAAGTTATCCGAGTACTATTTCTCATCTATAACTTGCATATCTACTACTCCTATCTTGAATCTAATTTTAAATGAATAAAGCAAAACATGGTCAAGTAAAAGATACATTTAATAGAAGCTGCTAATTAATAATGCTTTAAATCCACAAAGTAAGAAAGCTTATTATCTGAATGAAATGGATAGCTCCTTCAACTCAAAAGCCCGAGAAATTCCATGGATGATGAACGTCTTGTACAAGAAAATATCTGGCGCTGTAATCTCCACGCCATCAATGGTCAAGATACGCGAAACATTGCTCTTAGAAATAGTAACATTTAGGCCTGGAACCAATGTCTTTAGGGGTGAACTGTCAGGCAAGAAAGCTAATTCCGTGTAAGTGTACCTTTGGGGCAATATATGAAGCCTTACAATTCTTTCTAGCAAAGGTGAAGGGGATGATAAAAATCCCAAATTTGGTGGAGCAAAGATTGTTACATAGCTTAAATTTGCAAAATCTTGAATAATCCCATCAAGAACAGAATGCAACTCAATTGCAAAGGAAACATATCCTTTGGAGCTGAGTAACTTAATGATTCTTGGCCAATCAACCAAGTTCTTGAAATCATTTGTGCTTGCACTTGATATCTGATCTTCACAAATAGGTGATCGAATAACGTCTCCGTGTTGGTCCATTCCATGAAAATCTAACTCAGAAAAAGCTCCAGTAACTCCATGTATTGAGATACTTTCTTCAAGAAACAAATCAGGATGAGAAACTAACACATTGTTAATCTCAACAGAGTTCTGTTTATAATCAGTTTTTGTGATAGCAATGTATTTTTTAGATAAAAGTGTTGTTAAGCAACTTCCTTGGGATTTTTTCAACAGTTCTTGAAAAGAGAGATTGTAAGGGGAAGTGTGGTACTGAAGGAGCTGTTTCATTGCCCAAGAAGGGACAGAGAGCTTGGCAATGGCGGAATCTTGAACGGCAAAAATGGTGGATTGAGGAGTGGAGAGGAAGATTTCAGGGGAGATTTGAAGGAGAGTAGCTAAGATATTGAAACCTTGATTTCGAAGAGCTTTAGAAGCATTCATTGTAAGGGCGTGTTTGGTGAATTGGTGAGATGAGTTTGAGTTGTTGGTTGATATTCTTGAATGCATGCTTGTGGTGATTGCTGTAAAAGCAAGAATTATGGAGAGAACTACAAAGAATAGGCCTTGACAACCAGAACTAGCCATAGTTACAGTAAGAGTTACAATCGAATCTCTTCTTCTTCTTCTTCTGTGTGCGCTGTGATTTTGTGTTTGACAAAGATGAAAAACAAACGTTCTTTCAATAGAAAGAATATTATAGTAATGGATAGTGCACTTCAGTATTTTCGTTATTTCATTTCCCAAAGAAAAAGAAATAGGAACAGCTGCTCCAACCTCTAGATGTCAAGAAACTAGAGGAGATTTTCCCTCCGAACAAATATAAAGAGCTCCCTCTAGTAGGGGTGAACATATTTTGTACGAATCCGAAATCCAAAGCAAAAATTCAAACTTTTTAGATTTTTAGTTTGGATATTCGGATTATAAATTGGATTTCGAATTTAATTTTTAAAACTTTTGAATTTCATATTGGATGTTGGATTTGGTACTTTGGACTTTTTGGATATTCGAAAATAATTTTTTTATGCTTTATATTTAGTGCTACTCATTAGGCATTAGTCCTTTATCTATATGTCCATAGTAATAAGTCCAATACCCTACACATTAGGCATTATCTCATATATTCAATATTAATTTCTAAATTAATGTCAGAATACCTTATATTTGGATATGATTTTACTATTCCTTAATATAATCAGGCTTAGTAATGTCTTGTATTGGGTAAATTTATAGATTATAAGTGTACGCCTCTCGAGTAGACATATGGCTGTGAAGGCATGTAGGGGACGAGTCCGCAGATGGTTGATACTTGGTATAGTCAGGTATCCAGTATTGCATAAATTTCGAAGACATCAAGATCGAGGAAGAGAATTTAAAACTTAGGAACCGATTGGAAAAGAAAGCATTAAACGAACAGTCGTTACAGAAAATCATAGCATTTATTCTCAAACATTATGCGATCATCAATAGGGGTTTTTATTTATCTTTAAGGAAAGCATGATTTGAGGATCTTGTCTCCTCAAATATAACTATAAATAAAGAAATTTGTACTCATCGAAGAACATGAGATAATTGTATGAAAAAAAACTGATATTCTTCTCATTCTTAAAAAAACCTTAATTACTATTATTAAGATTTGCAAATTGTTCTTAGTTCGGCGGGGATCAGTCTAGAGCCCAAGCTTGTTCTTCTTCTATTATGGTTATTTTATTCTCTTTGTAATGTGCTATTTTATTTTATCATATCAATTTAATCCACGTGTATATAAATCACGTTACAAATTCAATTGTACATATTTGCGGGTAAACATGTCTCTGTTGCATTTTCTTAATAATGATTTCATTAGTTGAATACTTTACTTGCATGATTGTGGGGAGAATGGGGAACTTTTTAGGCAATTTAACTAGAATATTTCATTTGGATGTTCATTTTTGTAAGAAGAAGAAACAACTCACCTTATATAGGCTCAAAATTGAAAATTCGAAATATTCAAATCGATTAATCCGAAACCGAACTTAAGAAATCTAATACTCCCTCCGTTTCAATTTATGTGAACCCATTTGATTGGGCACGGAGTTTAAGAAAAGAGAGAAGACTTTTGAATTTGTGGTGTAGAATGAGGCATATATATTTTGTGTGGCTATAAATTATTGCATAAAGATAAATTGTTTTCAAATAAGGAAAGAGGTTATTCTTTTTGGCGCGGACTAAAAAAGAAATAGGTTCACATAAATTGAAACGGAAGGAGTATAATCCAAGATCATTTGGATTAAATTTGGATCGTCATTTCTTCATATTCGAAAATCCAAATCGAAATTTTCATATCAAATCCGAACGCCCACCCTTACCTTGAACATGATCATTACGAGTACCTTGTAGCATTAGTTCTAGCTATTAATGAGGAGAACGGTTAAGTCGCAAAATACGTATTACATTAATCAAAAAACTTTCCCTTTGTCTCCGCTATCTACTTTGCCTTTCTTTCTATGTTTGTTTCTCATTCCTTCTTTTCTTCTTCCCTTTTTCTGTTTTTCTTTTAATTAGCTTTACTTAAAATTAAGAAAAGCTGTTTTCAATTCTACAGTATATATGAAAAAAATAAATTTTCTATTTTGTGAGGATCATTAGCAGAAAATTGCTGGTCAAAGTATTAAACTAGATATTGAGATGGAAGAGAGAACTTCTAATAGTTTAAATATTTTTTAAAAATTCATTGTTTCATTTTGGTGTGTTTGGTATGACGGAAAATATTTTCCGGAAAATATCTTTCTATTTTTCACTGTTTGGTTGCATAAAATAATTTGGAAAATATTTTCCTAGATATCATATTTTTTCTGAATTTGGAGGAAAATGACTTCTATAGAAAAAGTTAGAAAAATATTTCTCAAAAACTCCACCTACCCTCACATCTAACCCCCAACCCCCTCCAACTTCAATTTTATATTTTTTTTCGTTTT